AACACCGTTTAGGTCCAGCCCTGTGGTGTCCCAATTCGGCGTCCGCCTCCGCGAGGTGCCCGGGGCGGGGGGGGGGGGCCGTCGGCGGGGCAGGGGAGGGCAGAGGCGGGCCCCGACGGGCGGAGGAGGAGAGGGAGGAGGGAGGATGGCGCTGCGGGCGAAGCGTCGCCTCCCCCCCCCACCCCCACGGCTTGGCAGAGAAGAAGCGAGGAGGGAGGAGGAGGGAGGAGGTGGAGAAGAAGGAGGGGGACGAGGGAGAGGGAGAGGGGGAGCAGCAGCAGCAGGATGGGGTGGGTGGGATGCGTGATGAGCGCCGACGATGTTTGTGTTGTCGATGCTGGTGATTATGCTACCAAGGTTGATGGTGGTGATGATGCTACTGCTGACGAGGGCGGTGTCGCTTATGGTGGAGCGGACATGGAGGTACAGGGATTTTGATGATGATGATGATACTGATGCTGATGCTGCTGCTGATGCTGATGCTGATGCTGATGTTGCTGCTGCTGCTGATGCTGCTGCTGCTGCTGCTGCTGCTTATGATGATGATGATGATGATGATGATGATGATGATGATGATGATGATGATGGTGATGGTGATGGTGATGGTGATGGTGATGGTGATGGTGATGGTGATGGTGGTGATGATGATGGTGATGATGATGATGAACATGATGATGATGATTATGATGATGCTGCTGCTTATGCTGATGCTGACGTTGGTGATCATGATGATGCTGCTGCTGATGATGATGATGCTGCTGATGCTGATGGTGCTGATGATAGGAGCAGGAGGAGGATGAGGATACGTCAGGTAGATGCTGATGCTGATGCTGGTGCTGATGCTGATGCTGCTGCTGAGTGGCGGCGGTGGCGGTGGTGGTGCTGGCGGCGATGATGATCATGGTGGAGCGGACATGGAGCTACAGGGATTTTGATGTTGGTGATAATGATGATCATGATCATGATGCTGACGACGATTATGATGATGATCATGATGATGCTGGTGGTGGTGGTGGTTATGATGGTGCTGATTACGATGAGGATGAAGAGGAGGATGAGGATGGTGATGACGACGACGATGGTGATAATGATGATGATGATGGTGGTGGTGGTGGTGATGATGGTGACGACGCTGATGATGATGATGATGATGATGGTGGTGGTGGTGATGATGATGATGATGATGATGATGATGATGAAGATGATGATGATGATGATGATGGTGCTGCTGCTGCTGAGGATGATGATGATGGTGATGATGGTGATGATGATGATGATGATGATGATGATGATGATGATGATGATGATGATGATGATGCTGATGCTGATGCTGATGATGCTGATGCTGATGCTGATGCTGATGCTGATGCTGATGATGATTTGGAGGAGGGGGAGAAGGAGGATGAGGAGGAGGAGGAGGGTGACGTTGCGATATGCCGAATACGATATGGACGCCATTTCGATGATGGTGACTAAAAAGGGGGAAGGGTGGGGAGGATGAGGAGGCGTGCGGGGGACAGAGTTGAGGAGGACGGGGAGGACATGGGGTGCAGGAGGGGGAGGCTGGGGATCTGGAGTAGCAGGAAGGCGAGCGAGAGGAGGGCGAGGGTCAGGAGCAAGAGCGGGGCAGGAGGGTGCCGAGTGTGCTGATGAGGCGGGGCGTTCAGGGCCCTCTGACGCCGAGTCGAAAGGAGGAGGCGAGCCTACGTATGCTAGCCTCCTCATGCTGGTGAGCCAATGTCCAGCCAATAGAAGCTCCAGTCGCCGGCACGCGAGCAGCGCGCCTCGGGCCCATGCCGACACGCCAAAACGAGCCGCAAGCCGACGAGGCGACGACGGAGCCCCAGACCAAGGACGCCCATGGAGAACGAGGAGAAGCAGCAGATGCGACAAGAAAGAACCGAGGGGAGCCCAGGAGAGCTGACGAGCAGGCCCAGGCCGATCCCAGACCATGCCGCCACACCTCACGCAATTCAGCCCTTCTACCACACCGACTCCTCCTTCCTTCTTCACGAACTTCAACTTGGACCGCTGGACCGACTTCGCTATGACGACCTTTCCGAAAATCCGACGATTCCTGGCATTGGTCGCCTTCTTCTGGCGGATCTTAATCATCACAATGCCTGGGATGACGAACTTACCGATGTACTTCGCCACTGACGCTGCAGTGCTAGCCTTCTCGATGACGACTCATCCGAAGATCCCACAATTCCTGGCATTGGTCGTCTTCTGGCGGGTCTTGGTAATTGCAACGCCCAGGATGACAAATTTGCCAACGCACTTCGCCACTGACGTTGTCACTGGTGCCCCGCGCAGCAAACACAAAGGCACTCTTGCATGAATTCCCAATTATCCTGTGGAGATGGGTCCTCGTTTTGAAGAGACGGAGCCCCGCGTTCCTCTCCTCCTCCTCCTCCTCCTCCTCCTCCCCCTCCTCCCTCCTCTCTCCTCCTGCTTTTGCTTCTGCTCCCTGCATGTCCTCATCGTCATTATCATCAGC